TCCAGCAGTGAATAGTGACCGCTGAGCATAGGTGTTGTGCTTGCTCGGGTCAGAGGATAGAAAACAAAGCCAGGTGCGTGCCGGCTGATAGGGCAGGCATCGTCCATCCTGAAGCCGCTGCGCGCGGAAGGGTGCGATGCGCTGCTGATGGACAGGCTGTTCCAGAAACTCACAGCCTGATCTTAGGTTTACTCGAATTTAACTTACAAGTGTATACTCAGTACTATAAATCCTACCTAATTAGGGGAAGTATCTTTACATCTGTTTTTAAATGCAACACAAAACTGGCGTTTGATTTTTGAGTTTCCTTTGTAGGTAATTATGTTTAAATTATCTTACGTATTTTTCTTGCATCTGTCTCTTTCTCAGCTGACTTACTGAAGACTTCTTTTTCAGGGTTGTACTAGTCAGATACAGAGCTCTTGTGCTAGATAGTGCTGTCACCCGTGGCCGTGTGCCAGAATCGAGCATTTTGCTGTCGACTTTTGCCTCTCAAGTGACTTGAGAGTTTGCTGAGCTGCCCTTCTTGCAGGGGAGAGAGTTGTCCCTTCATTGCCCTGCTTCCAGGAAGACAAGATTTAGTGATGGAATTCTGAGCACATGGTGCCTGCTAGGCTCCCTGCTCTCCCCTCAGGTAGCTGGGAAAGGTGGAAAAAAAGGAAGTTTACTAGAAGGACTGAAAGAGCTAATTCTTAGCAGCTCAGAATGACAGCCTCAGCAGGTTGTAAAACATACAGTGAGTCTCACTCCCTTTGCCAAGGACTTCAACTGAGGAAAATTCTGAGTTGTTGAGTCTTCCTGAGATTAAGGTTACATGAAAAAGGTGCAGGCAATCACGTCAGGCATGACTGAAGCAGCATCCACAGACTATGCTGGAAATGATGGGGTGTTCTGTAGCGTTTTCCCTGTGTAGAGTTAGAATCTATAAACTGGAGGAGGAGGAATGCCTTAATTGAAGTAATCACTGGTATTTTCTGCAATTCTTGACCCAGACTACTAGAAATGGAAGGGAACTAGTCTTACAAGAATGAATCTGTTCCATGCTGAGGAAAATACTCTAAAAATGCATTGGGAAATGATGTAAACTGAACACCACAACAGCTCTGTCTTCAGTACTTTACAAGTGGTTGCCACTTGTTCCAACTCTGCCGTGCAAGACTTACCTTTGAGGTGGAAAAAGTCCGTTTTGACATTTTTAAGAATCCTTTCAAGGGGTTAGAGGTTATCTTTATCGCCAGCGAGGGTTGAGTAAGCTTCTAGCTAAACTCTTTCTTAACCAGTCAGAGTGATCTGCAGAGCTGCTTACGTCTGAGGTAATCGAATATGGGTGTCGACCGAGCTATGGATGAGAGTGCACCCTGACGCTGGGCATGAAGAATCTTCTTAACTGACTGTTTTGTTCTTAGAAAACCCTCAAACCTTATAAAAACCCTTATTCTAAAAAAGAAAAGTTGTGATTCTTCTACCACAGTTTTATAATGCAGCACAGACCCATGAATTCCATCGAACAGTGGACAGGCCACCTGGCAAATCGGCAGGGTTAACGTTAGCAGTTATCCCTACCCTGCTCCCCGAACTGCCACGTTCTGCACAACCAGCACTGGAGCCCTGCAATACCCCATCCTCTCGGGTACCTTGCGTCTGTCCCGCTCACAGGAAACGCGGAGTTGAATTTCACGCCTCGACTGTTGGTTTGTGCTGTGGTTTTGTTTGTGGTGTGGGGTTTTTTTTTTGTTTGTTTGAGGGGTTTTTGTTGGTTGGTGGTGGTTTTGCTGTTAAAAAGGGGGATCCTAGCTTTTTTCTTCAACATGGAATTTCTCACCAGCTCGATCTCATTGGTTTTGCTCCACTTACTGCTTGAAGTACTGTGTGAAGAGTACAAAAAGCTAAGCTGTAGTAGCTGAGACTTCAAGTGTCTCCTCGTTAGTAATCTACTACCAGTGTTTGCGTAAGCTGGCAGGAGTCCTGGTCGTTGGACGCACTTGGCACGCACTCTGGCTGTTCTGGGGTGTTCCTCAGAGGCCTGAGCTTTAACGTGCACAGCCGACAAACGCTGTAGCTTCCGGGTTGCAGTGGGAGACAGCTTCTCTGCTGTTGGCTGGGCAGAAGTATGCCAGTGTCTGCAGGGATTGGTAGCCGTCACGCTCCCTTGTGCAGGGGGAGCTGTCTTGGACAGCTCCTGCTGCTGCCTTGCAGTTAGGCTGCCCTATACGCTGCGCAGCGTTCGGAGGCCAAGACCCCGCGATGCTGCTGTGTGTTCTCGAGCCTAGTAGCTTCCAGTTTCAGCGTGATCAGGTTTACTGGTGGTTACTCTTAAAGTGCATTCTTCACCTCTCTACTGTGTTCTCAAAAACTTTTACGCAGAAGTGTGCAATATATAAAATAAAACACTGCGTTCTTGCTGTTGCTTGCGTCTGCGATGTTTTTTCTTGTTCTTCTGACCTGCTCAGGGGGTGGGAGGTGGATTTTTTGTTTCCCCCTACCCCAACCAAGACACTGACTGTAAGGAGGGAAATACCCAACACTTCCTAGTGCAGGTGTGTATGGCCTCCAGTTCATACCCTCCTGCTGTCGTTACTACAGGCTATGTTTGTGTATCTAATGGCAGGAGAGCAAAAAGTCCTTGGATGGTCCATTACTCCTGGTGGGAGTCTGGTAGGGAGAATCGGACAGAGAGTGGCTCCATCTCCACCAGTGCTTACGCTACTGCCCCAGGGCTAGGGGGAAGGCAGAGACCCTGAGGACAGAACATGCTGCTTCTACCTGGCTCTGGTTCGGTTCCCTCAACCAAGCCCCACTTAGTAGGTGGGGGGGCTGCTACCTGGTTCTGTCCACAGCAACCCTCTGCTCTCTGCATGGAGTCACTGTGGGAAACCAGCTGCATGTTTTGCTTTAGAAGTGCAACCCTGACCTGGGGCTCCATGCTTCCAGTGCTATGTGTAACCATGGTGACTGCCAGCCTTCCCCACCACAGCACCAGCTGGGATAACATTCCAGGTCTGAGCTGACTTTTTTCAAGTTAAAGCTGTGTCTCTTTACCTGGGCAAATTCTAAAAATCAACCACCCGTCCTCACCTCCAAGATGAAACACCAGCTAACTAGAAAGCTGTCCAAGGTGCAGCAAGCGCGAGCTGCCCCAGCAGCCACCCTCCACTTACAGGTGAGTGGTCGTACAAGTGATGATGTTTCGTACTACGGCTTTATGACTGAGACTGCTTCTTCCGTGTGTAGCCAGCAGGCTCTTCTGCACAGCCCCAGCATTCGATGCACAGCACTTGCTAAACATTCAGAAAGTTCAAGATCAGATACGAAATATTAAGGGACTGATTTATTGAAACATGAATAAATAACAAGGATGGCACATGCCTACATTGATTTAAGTGGGAAGTTAACAGTTAAGTACCTTGGAGAATACACCACCTCTAAAAGCGAGACACTACGGGTAACAGGACATGAACAGGGGCAGGAGGCACTCTCAGGCGCTCCGTCCTGTCAGAAGATGCTGCTCCAGGAGCTTTTTATTTCATGTGACCGTCAGTCTGGAGGATTCTTCCTGCAGAATCATTTCTACCGTTTCATGGTAAGGAGTCACTTGTGCTAGGAACTCCAAGCCACAGGCACAATGGCTTCACGTGGCAGCAGAGCTCCCCTTCCTGCACAAGCTTTGTTCAGACCTGAGGTTTCAGTACCCCTCGTGCCTGGCACGTGAAGCACCTGATGGCTGCAGCAGGCTTCAAAGGGTTCTGATCGTTTAGTTCAGCTTTACAACGTAACAATCCGCAGAGGGGGAAAGTAACTATTAAGAAAAACCTGCATTTAACTTAAGATTCAATTTGCTCTGGTAAAACAAACATTAAATTCTGTGATTACATTTTTACACAGTACAGCTTGTATGGAAAAATGGTTTCCGAACTGTAAAAGATTTTGAGGAAGGACAGAATAACTGGTCTAGATGGAGAGTGACAGCACATCAATGCTACGGTGACGCTGCTGAAGATTCAGATCTCAGTTGTTATGATGTAATTCTTTATAGCAAACGAATGGCTTGGGTTTCTGTCAAATCTAATTTTAGTGCATTTCCCTTTTCCAGAGATTTAGACAACTTATCAGTCTTATAATGCAGTGTAAAGCGTGCTTTAATCAAGCAAACCTCACAGGGCTGTACCTGCATCTGTGTATTGGTTAATAAACACCCCGTGGAAAAAAAAAACCAGCACCAAAATTAGCTTCAAAGTTTTGTTTTGAAGGAAAGCAGAAGGATAAGAGAAAGAAATGCCAGAACGGATTATTTTTCCTGATGTGTATTGGGAAGAGTTCACAGTAGTTCAGTGCTAGATTAAACCTTAATTTGACATTAACCGATGACAGAAACCTTCCAGCGCGCTGAGCTTTCTGAGACCTCAGAGAGACACGCGCAGAGCTGGCTTTCCTCTCCTTTCAGAGCACCTTGTGCCTATGCTGTGCATTTCGGCTACAAGAAGATGTTGTCAACAAGAACGCAGTTACCGAAGTGACACATCGAAGGTGCAGCCTCCAGCTGGATCCCTCGTACCACACGCCCTTTCCAAGCCTGTAGTGGACAGCCCCACTGTCACTATGGCTCTGACTGGAAAGACATACATCAATTCCCAAACCTCCTCTACAATCTTAAAGGATAAGTCAAGGATTCCACTTCGTTTCTGGGCAGCGTACGGGGAAATCTGCCCCACCCCGTGCAGCAGCAAAACCAACCAGCTGCATCCTCAGCGCTGTATGGCGTTTCCCCAGCAGCCTACGACGTTCGTACTTGGTTAGTGCTTTCATCCGACAGCAGGTGACCCCGTGGAAACACAGGTGGGGCCGACATGGGAAAATTACTTAAATGTTAAAGTGACAGTTTTAGATATTTTCACTTTTACCTTTACAAAGATGATAATCTCTTCATCATCTGACATCAGCAAGAACAGTAACTACTAAGGGCCCATCCACAAGCCAAGACAATTAATGTTCATAAGGTTTTGAGGATGGAATTATTAAATTCATTTTATTTGTAACCTAGGAGCCGCGAATCATTCAAGTTTCAGTAACGTTAGTCCTTAAATGTTTAGCTCAAAGGTAGTACAAAATGTTACTATAACAGAAGGAACGTCATCCCAGATCCTGAGATTCTATGAGAATTCAGAATTCCTTCGCTTTCCAGGGCCATCTTCTCTGAGCAGTCTTTAAGCAATGCCACGAATTCTCAGTTCAGTTTTCTAGAGGAGGAACCAAACAGACGAGTTTAATGTACCTTCATACACGAGATGACTTTTCCTTTGTCTAAATAAACAAATCAATTACGGTTACAGGTGAATGATTTCTGATCCATTAAACCAGAACACTGCTTCACAGTACGCAAACATTTCATAGAATCGTAGAACAGTTTGGGTTGGAAGGGATCTTGAAGACCATCTAGTTCCAACCCCCCTGCCATGGGCAGGGACACCTTGCACTAGACCAGGTTGCTCAAAGCCTCATCCAACCTGGCCTTGAACACTTCCAGGGATGGGGCATCCACAGCTGCTCTGGGCAACCTGTTCCGGTGCCTCACCACCCTCTCCAGGAAGAACTGCTTCCTTATATCCAATCTAAATCTCCCTGCTTTCAATTTAAACCCGTTAGCCCTTGCCCTACAAGGGATAATTGCAGGTTGTACTGTCCCTCCCGGCAGGGCAATGGAGGCGATCCTTGCCCTCTATTCAGCACTGGAGAGGCCACACCTGAAGTGCCGTGTCCAGTTCTGGATACAAGAGAGACCTGGACGCACTGGAGACAGTCCAGTGAAAGGCCATAAAGATGACCAAGGGACCGGTGCATCTCTCCTGTGAGGACAGGTGAGCACTGGCACTGGTTGCCCAGAGAGGTTGTGGAGTCTCCCTCGTTGGAGATATTCAAAAGCCACCTGGACGTGGACCTGGGCGAGTGGCTGTAGGTGTCCCTGCCTGAGCAGGGGGGTTGGGCCCAATGGCCTCCAGAGGTGCCTTCTACCTCAGCCCTTCTGTGGTTCTGAGATTTACCGTAGGAGACAAAACCATACCATGAAAACCGCCAAACGTTAAAAAGCTAGAACAACTTAAGCTCGTTCCAGTAAGAACCACACACATGCAGACTCTCTGCGGACTGACAGAGAGGAAGAAAGTGGAAAGGTAAGAGCATGGCAAGGTAACAAAGTCAGGTGTGAGGCTGCAGTAAGGAGACAGCACATGGAGAACAGTCACTTCATCTTCTGATGCTTAGAGAGTTGAGAAGAGGTAGGATGAGAGTACAACCGACCTTCAGCTGAAGGAATTTGAAGTAAACCTTACAGAAATATTGTACTAAGGTGCTAGCAAATGTTAAATAAGAAACAGGTGACAGATGGGACTCTGCACACGAAAAAATTTCTCACGGCACAAGGGGACTAGGGAGTCTAGAAGCAGTGAAAACAGATCAAGAGGATATTGGGAGTGAGAGGGTCAAAGAATGACATGGTGACCCTTCCAAGCTATCCAGCCTCACCCACTTGTGGATGCTCACTGACACTATTAATCCTACATCACATCTCAGGGATTTAACCTAAACTGCCACATACAAAGCATACCACATAAAAAGTCCCATTAACCAATACTTTCTTATGCTGAGAAACTTTCAAGGCAAAGAAAACTATAAGTCTCTTCCTTGAATTCCCAACTACTGGAAAGCACTCCTAGTAGCTTTAAGAATTTCTTGTTGTGCATTCGGCTTAAGTTCCTGGGACTGAAACATGCACTTTCCTACCATAACCATACCAAGGACTCTGCCGTACAACCTGCTTTAGCCTGGTGTCTTCGGAGCTGAGTCACTGGTTCGTACAGCGGAGCCGTAAGCAAGACATGTCTTGAAACAAAGAGTTCACGGAAACAGGATTCATCAAAGCAATCATGGAGTTCCCCATTTTGATACTGACCTGATACTTTGGACACACTGTCAAAGCCTTACTGAGAGCATTCCCTGGCATTCTCATGCCCGGAGGGAGTACCTTATGTCCTAAGTAACACGACGTGTTGGTTTGAAGAGGTGAAAGACAGTAGATGTGCCCTGCGGAATGCTGGTCCTTACCTTCGCTTTCTTTGAAGATACACATGTACCAACCACTGGGCAATAAATGGCCATATGATAGCAAAAGCTAAAATACCAGGTGAAATTTCAAAGGGCCACCAGGACGGTTTCTAAGGAAAACAGAAAGGATTTCCAGTCAGCAGTCTGCGTGCACATATTGAACCCCACATGTATCCTCCTCCATCCCTTCTAATGCTACAGTATCTAAGTAGAAAACACTAGTAATGTGAGAAAGAGGAGAGTAATCCATCAAATAACTTCTCAGACAGATTATTTTTTATCTCCTAGTCCAGGGAGAGACAATACAAAAGCACATCCTAAGAGCTAGATATAAAATATTCATCTCATCTTTTTTCCACCATTCACACTACTTTTTATAAATAGAAAAAACACTATTTTACCTTGACCGAGGGGGCAGGCTGATAATTTGACTGTAGTGTTGCAGATTTGGCCTTTAAATGCAAACAAAGGCTGGTAAGTATTAAAAAGGAAACTGCATTTACAATTCTTCTGCTTCACAGAATGAGAATATGAAGTTTTTCATCCTGTGGAGGCTTGGCACGCTGTGTATGTAACAGGTGGAGGAACACAGCCACCTCCATGCAACGCCCCTTTCACCACTTAGCTTCCAACTTACTTCTCCTATTTCCACTACTCCTTGTAGCATTGTTATCACAACTCCGTGTGTTAAAAAACGAATCAGTGTCACTTATGGGACCTCTCCAGATTTTTAAGCTCCCTCCCCCGCATAACTTGTCATTGCAACTTCCTCAGCCCTTGTCCAGTCGCAGCACTTGCAACCCAGACTAGAAATCCCAGCAGCTGAATCTGCACGATTCCGTGTTTCAACACTGCTCTAACCATGGCAAAAAGCACCGTTTGAGTCTGCCCTGAGCTATGGCTACAGGCACGCCTAACAGCATAAAGGAAAGAGAATGCTCTGGTCCAGATCTTCCAGGCAATCCAGAAAATGAGAAGTACCAGACACTTTTCAAGGTTATTCCCATACACTACTGTGGAGTTTCCAAAAAATGAAGCAGTCAGTTTTCTAGGTCTTTCCCAAATTATTTAAGCGTGAGACAGAAGCTTCTGTGTCTCTCTAGGTAAGGGCAGCAAGCACAGCACGAACTGCTGGGGGAGAATCTCTTACTATTTCTCCATGTACTGCTCGAGCATAAAAAGAAAAATCAATCTGTATCCAAACATGAGATTCTTGAATAGCTGTGACAGACCAAAACCATGGGTTTAATAAATCCTTTTCCCTGGCTGCCTTAGATTTGGAGCATGTGCAGCCCATAGGACACTTCTAGTACAGCTCTCTTTCTCAGGGAGATGAAAACGTATCAGCAAGTCAAACAAAACCAAACGTGTTTAGATTGCTGGCTCCAGTATATTCACAGCATATTTTGTTCTCGCAAATATACAGCATTTCCATTGAAACAGAAGGAAGAAGAAACACTACATCAATACTTATCTACTCTTTCTTAAGACTCCTTTTGCCTACCTTGTGTGCATGATGTGAAATTCCCAGAAAGCTGGATTACTTTGTGGGAAGGAATGCTATGAATAGTCAGTCTTCTGCAAACTAAAACATGGAATCAGAAGTTCTGCCTGTAAACATTTACCAGTCTGGAAGATCAGGATAATTTCTCACTTCTATGAGATCTACTGATGAAGAAATTATCTAGGATCATGTATTACTAACAAACTACAGAACCTCCATATGGCGACTGTGTAATGTGTACCAATAACTATGGCTAAGATCACTCTGATCGGAATCACTAAAATAATATATTATCATTATAGGTTAAATTTAATTTCTAGGTTGAAATGCATGTTTCTGCTCACATGTGCAAGAGTCCTGAATTGTGTTCCTGAAAGTAGGTACCAGTAAGAAATTTTACATTGGAATAAACTACAGAATGTAACTGAAATGTCTTCACAGTTTAAGAAAATATTACCTGAAAAAGCGTTAAAAAACCCAAGGAAGTTCAAGAAAACACAATCAAATAACGTCAGTGAATAATACCTGTGACGCTGTAACCGCCTCCAGCATATGCAACCTCTGAAGGACATTCTGCATGTCTTCTTGCAACCGCATCAGGACCACTGCAATCTGTTCATTGAGGCTACCCCTGGGTCCTCTGTCTGATCCCCAGCGCTCTCCATCCCCCCCGCTCCCCAGCTGTCCGCCTTGTGATCCGTCTCCCAGAGGCTGAAGTCTGTGCCCTGTTTTGAGGGAGAAAAAATAGATACGTCAAACACAGAAGGGGCTACCAACTCTACTGAAAATGTCTGACTCCCTCCTGGACCAAGCGGGGGACTCCTAGTCATAGGCTACACTGAGACAGTCCAAACGCCCCGGGGGCGAGTGTTGAGATGTTTCCCTACAGCCTCAGCCTGACGGATGGTTCAAGGTCCTGGAACTGCAGAAACATTTTTAAACAAATCATTCATTCACATCCGGTCGAGTTCAGCAGTAAATTCTGCCCCAGCAAAGAGGAAGTAAGATCCGTCTTACTATTGAGGGTAGGTGTGTTTTACGCTGGGCAGAGTCTCCAGCTGGAAAACAAAGAACGCTGGAATAGAGTGACGAGAAAGGAGAATCGTTTGACACCTCCTTTAAATTATATCCCGCTAGCCTATCATGTTTCTGCTTGCAGCTAACGAACCTAAACAAAGAAAATTGACAGGAGAGGAGGGGAGATGGTTAAACTAAACTGTGTTTTTCATAACAGTTTTCAGCATAAATGTTGTATCTGGATTTTCTTTTGAATTTTTGCATCTGAACGTATAGGTGCTTTACAAAAATTCATGCTACATATAAACAAAGTAACTTCTGGCTTTTTTATTTTTAGTGCAAGATATATAAGCTTTATCCTTGACTTTACAGATCATACCACTGGAATATGGTGCTGTAGAAGCATTATGGAATTAAAAAGAGCGGAGATCCAACGTAAATCCAACATCTGAACTATTATGTGATTAAGAATCACTAAGGTTTAAGTAGACAGTATCAGAATCACTCAAAGGTGTGGCTAACACTCCACTTAAATAGAAAATGATGCGTCACTGATTCCTTTCCAAGATGTTCCGTGGTTTCAAACAGGAGGTATAAATGCATATGCATTTAAAAATAAATATGCAACTTGTAAAGAAACTCTTCTCATGCACTGACAGGTTCTGAAGATTACAGTTCTACAGAGACAGCTGCCATAAGCAGCAGCTGGAGTTTAGGGCAAGCCAAAGCAGGAGAAGCCAGTACACTTACACGAGATCTCCACAGCACAGGAAAATCCTTTTGTAATAATTACTATGAACAAAATCAGTACTCTGAACACAAAGCTGATTGCAACCCACTGTAATTAGGATTTTGTCACCTACTGTGAAGGACAGAAGCACCACACAGCATGACTCTTACTGGACAATGTCGACAAGTACCTCTCTGGCACCCTCAGGAGAGGGGGAAACACAAGAGTAGCCTGCACAGTACCTCTCCCTCTTCGGACACTGTAGAAATCCGCCTTTTCTCCACCTTTTTTCTCCTTGTGAGGGCCCCCATTACTGGCTTTGCCATCTTCTCCTCCACACTTTACTTCGCCTTCTTCTTGAGCTGCTCCCTCTGCAGTATTTCCAGGTTGGAGATTCCCGTAAGTCATGCAGATGTGCCTTGGGAAATCCGTATTTTCTAACAGAAGACTGTGATCTACATCCAAGAAATGGGATGAATGCTTTAAAGATCCTTTAGCTGACGTGATGATCTCCAAGGGCTACAAATTAACATTAGCAAGTAGTTAAATTCTGTAAAATGTGACAGTTAACCAATAAAACAGGAAGAAGCATCATCTCTACTTTCACTTTAAAAAACAGTCTGCCCAGAATTAAGACTTTTAACAGAAGCCAGTTTTTTCCAGTAGAATGTGCTTACAGTCTACAAAGGCCACACTTAAACTGGACCTCTGATGGAGGTCCAAGCTAAGTCAACTAAGACTACAGTTAATATGATGAGCAGGAGCACAAATTCAGTCAAAACTGAATATCCTTTTCAGCTCGAAAAGGCATTTGAGGCAAATATTCTCAAAACAGTACGGTGATACGACTTGGAATTATTTCAGACATGTCGAACATACTGTAATACTCAGCAATCACTAAAACAGAACATTAAGACCTGAAAATGTTCTGTTTTCCCCTGCAGAACTGGCTTTGCTTCTTAGGCAGTGAAGTTGCATACTAGCTTGGACACGTGAGCTACACCGTCCAAAGTCACGTGGCAACCTTGAGCGGGCAGCGTTTACACTCCCCGCAAAGAGATCACGCTGCTCATCATCAACCTGTTCAAAACATCTTGGCTGCACCCTGCACCTCCCCCCAGACAAAAGAAAGGCATAGTACTTGACGAACTTCTCACTCAAACCTGGTGGTACTGCAGACAGAGACCAAAATGGATGACATCCGCACTGATCAGGTCACAGTTCCATGTTCTGCGACAGGACTGCCTTAAGGTGGGTCAAGCAACCCTTTGTTGAGTGCAAGGACAAGCACCTGCACAAGTATATGCTGAAGCACACTAGGGCTATCAGCTGGCTGAAAAGTAACTTCATGAGAAAGCCAAAATAACCAAAAGGACGGGCAAAGAAAAGGAAACTGCTGTCGAAATCTCATTTGTCAAAGAGCAGATCATAAACCCATACCACCAGAACTGAAGGACAGAGCGTTTCCTGCAGCTTTTCCAACAAAAAGCTGTATTCTTTAGATGAACCTCTTCCAGTCTGAATTGATCCCCCTCTATCTCTGCTTGTATGTTTATTTACATATACTGAACATTTGTTATTTTGTTGAAAACTAGAACTTTCCTCATGCAGGTTGCGAAATTCTGACAAACTACCCACCCACTTCAATTAAATTAGAATCTCAAACAAGCTCAAACGCTACACGTGACGATTGGGAAATCACCTAGATAAGAGAGCTTGCAGCACTCCTACCGAATCACCCTTCCCAACATGCCTCATTACTGGGCAAAATTTTCATTGGCTAAAAGGAATTCTCTACATCCTCAGGAAACAGCTAGACAATGAAATGATGCAGTATTAGAGTGCTTACGGGTCTTTCTGATCCCATCATTCGTATGTTCCTCGCCAGGATCAGGAAACTAGGTCTTCTGAGTACAATCTACGAAGTCCACACTTAGAAGGACCTCTGAAGGAGGTCCAAGCCCCTAAATCAACTAAGACTACAACAAGCAGGAGCACAAATTCAGACAAAACTAAGCCAGCACCGTTGGTGCCCAGCTTTAACATGAACGTCGGAGACGTGCATTACGGCTGAGGAGAGCACAAGAGAACCCAGAAATCACTGTCATCTCCACGTCTTTAGACCTAGGCCCTTTTCAGGCATTGGCCTACAGGCCACCTGCTTTGCCTTAGTCTTTATTTTTTCTAAGAAACAATTGCAGGATTCATCAGGCCAGAAAAAGAGCACACAAAAAGCTCATTGTTACAAGGAAACTCCCTGCTGCTTAGAGATACCTGGAATCTGTTCCCTGCATATGTTATGAGGCCCTATGTGAACATACGTTATGCTGTGGACACAGCACTCCGTTTCTTTGTACTGTTGTTTTTGACAGTTGTTTCTTTTACTGTTGTTTTCAATACCTTCCTCTCACATACATGCTCTGAGGGCAAAAATTTCAAGGCTTTTAGATCAGTAGTAACAAAGTGGGAAAAGGGGGCTACAAGGAAGCTGGGGGGGACTTTTTACAAGGACCTCTAGTGGCAGGACAAGGGGGAACAGGTTTAAATTGAAAGTGGGGAGGGTTAGATTAGACATCAGGACTAAGTTCTTCATGGAGAGGGTGGTGAGGCACTGGAACAGGTTGCCCAGAGGAGCTGTGGATGCCCCATCCCTGTAATTGTTCAGGACCAGGCTGGATGAGGCTTTGAGCAACCTGGTCTAGTGGAAGGTGTCCCTGCCCATGGCAGGGGGATGGAACTAGATGATCTTTAAGGTCCTTTCCAACCCTAACCATTCTGTGGTTCTATGATTCTATGAAAATACTGACAATAAAAAGAACAAAAAACAAGTCCAAACGGGAGAAGGGTATGTGTGAGTGACTTCATTCACCTCTGCATGTCCAGGTTCACCTGATAGATAGGAACTTATTTAAAAATACGCGTGTCAGTTTTAAAATACATCTAGGAATACTAAGCTCCTACCTCTTCTAGTCCAAGTTGCTCCATAGAGTCACAATAAACCTCACTGTCTGAATCACTGGTTAAGTGCTGGGTGGCTGAGACCTCTTCGGTATTCTCTTCATTTGCACCTGTGTGGAAAGGAGACACGCACACGTGCTGTGCAAATGTGAGCCCATCCCGGCAACCAGGAAAGCAATGAGCTAAAATGTCTAGGTGAGCTTCAAATCATCCCTCTGGATCTGCAGCTGTCATCCTAAAGTTAGATTCTGAATAGAGAGCGTATATGAATATAGGGATTATATAAAACTTTTACCAATGGGATTTTTCCTGCATTGTAAGTTGGTAATTTTAATTTTACCTTGTTCGTTCCACTCTCCTTGCTATGCTCAGTATTAAGCAGTTTTGCCTAAAGTTATCTTAGTTTTAAAAGGATATATTTAGGCATCAGTTTCAACCAACTGACATTTATAAAATGTTCAGCCTTTGAGAATGACAAACAAGATATTAGTGATTTTCATTTCACTACAAATTAGCTTCCAAAGGCAAGTAGGCAGTATAATGATTTTAAAAGAAAACAATTGTATTTCTGTGGCTTTGGGCCTCTCTGTCTCTGAATTCATATCTCTCTCTGTAGGAAATCCTAAAAGAAAGCCTTAGTTTGAACTGGTATTAAATTTGGGGGTTTTTGGAATATCTTCAGGTTTGTACAACTGAAAGACACCACAGCTAGCCTCTGAATCTCAGGATTAAGTTTTCAAGAAAAGAAGTATTTTCCATGAAAAACATGTGCAAATGAAAACACGGTCTTGCAAGAACAATACCTTGGTGGGAACTGTTATTAGCTATGTCTAGGCTTGGCTCCATTTTCTTTACTTCTTCCTCCGTGTTCAAGCCATTCAGGGCAGATTTGGTCTGGATGCCATTCTGCATATCTGGGATAAAGCTGTCCTTGGAACAGCCATTAGTAGCAACGCTTTCCAAATCCTTAGCAGCTGCTGATTCTGGTTTCACATTCTTATAGTCTGTAAAAGGACAAGAAAACCTTGCAAACAGAAAGCTACGCACCTAGTAGCTCACAACATATTTCTTTGGGTAGCTGACTTTGTAATGGACTGTACATATAACGTATCCGCAGAACAGAATTTATAAAGGCTCCTAGATTCACATTCGCAGGGATCGTTCAGTTCTTGTAAAAAGTCTAAATACAAAAGTTCATTTGCATACAGAGCAGATGATATTTAAAACGTTAAGTAAGCAAATCCAGACTATGTCTCTCTGATTAATTAAATAATATTCCTAACATCTTCGGAGGGAAAAAACTGTATAGAATTCTAAATATGCAATTTCATTTGGTTTTCACTTGATGCTGGTGCTTCTCAAAACTCTTTAGGGACACCCTGTATGAATCTCACTGAAAGTTCTGTTTCATTGTCTCTAAAGAAAAAAGGGTGATTTTCTGTTCTACTGTTACAGCCCATGTAGCCACTCACAGCTCTTACAAACATCACTGGCAACAAAACCAAAACAATACAGGGTATCAGCTTTTAGCTGACCTACTGACAGAACTTTCCAGCCGAGCCCAAAGCTGTATGGCAGAGCTCACACATTTGTACTGGTTCTGAATCTCACAGCCCAGGTTGAGACACTGCCAGGTTTCACACGTGTACCCACACGTATTTGCATCGAATTTTCCTGAAGAAGAACAGCATTCATGATCCTTTGGGATTTTCTGCCACTTAGGTGATTAAGAATAACTTTGAAGGAGACAATGGTGCAAGTGCAGAAAACGTACCCTTTCCATTTAGCTGCAGTTCTTTTTCTTCCTCTTCACGAAGCCCTTCTTCTTCTGATTCTGCTCCACTATCGCTACTTTCAGCTTTTCCATTCACAGCCTTTATATTTGGAGTGGCATTCATGGCATTACTAAGGTCTGAGGAAAAAACGATCTATTTTAAAAGAACAAACATACAACCCTCCCCCTCCCCCAACCATTAGTCATAGTTCTACAAAAGTATTCCCATACTAGAAGATGTACCAAATAATGACATTATTTCTGTGAGCTGTTCCTTAACTGGTTTCATGTTTCTCTTTTGTGGCTCACCACGGAGTGCCTGAACACTGGTGAAGAGATTCTCAATGGTTCTGAGAAAGCCCACTGGAAAGAGACAGCAAGCGACTGTCACCACCGAGGCTCAGAGCAAGGCTACTGCCCATATTTATGGTACAGCTGCAGTAAGGTTTGATCTAGGGCTAATGTGGCCACGTCCTTTTACACCCGGAAGTCGGTGTTTTTATAGAAGCTCCCTTTTGGGCTGAAATGCTTCAAAACTGTCCTCAGCTCAAAGGCAAATTTTAAAACAATCTATTTGTTATGTGAGCAACAGTTTTCTCACAGAAGAAGGTAAATACAACCTCCCATGCATCTTCTCCTGCAGCTATCTAAACAGATGAAAAAAGGGGTAAAGACTGAATATGGAAATACATAGAATTTACTCTGATTGTACAAAGAATTGCAAGGTAAAGATTGTTAAAAAATATGGAGAATTTAAGGCATAATTCTACCACCTCCTGTAAAAAAAGATACAGTTAAATACATCCTGAGGATCATTTAAACCTCCTGTGTTAGGACAGAGTGATCAAGGTACAAAGAGGGGACAGTTTTTGCGAGACACTCACACATTTTACATGTTGGCTCCAAGGCTGAAGTCTGTCTGTTTTAATTGTCACCACAGCATGCCATTTGCATAATTTCTACATTCCCTTGTCAGAACCTTGAAAGATTAATTGTTACGTTTAGGCTTAACATTGAACAGCAAAATCATATCCAATTACACCGGAGTTGCCAAACCAGCTCCACTACTTTCTTTGCTGCATGGCAATGTAGAGCTAAGGGGTTTCTGCTTTAATCTTCCAACGAAGAACCTTCCCACATTTCTCTGGTTTCAAAGCTTGTCCACAGTGCTCAAAAAAAAAATATAAAAAAAAAAAAGGCAGCATAACTTCTTGTACAGAAACAATGAATATGTTAAGTAACCTGTTTGCCCTAGTTTTACTGCCAGGTAAGGTTTCTGTGGGCACCCTGGATCACCAGTTTGGATTAATTTAATACAACTTTCATTTGAAGATTAAAAAAACCTGCTTTGTTATTGTAAAAAGAGAATTGGAAAAGGTATCGTCCGTCTTGCAGACTACAAAGATATAAACGATCGCATGCTCGTTTTCTTCTCACTGAAGAACACTTCTTATTGGCAAGGAAATTCGTTTCACAGAAGAAAAATCCCAACATACTCCCAGTTTATTTCTCATAAGCACATTTCATTTATTGTGAAACCCCGTTCTCGAGATGCTGTTCTGAGAAGCAGCAGTGTGAGGAGGCTGAGGCAGCAGTTACATCCTCACAGCACCATGATTAAGCACAGACCCAGCTCCCTTGGCATGGCAAGGCAGGCATCACCCTTTCCTTGGAAACAAAAAGGGGGTAGGGGCACAAATCATCCATGTGTCCTACCCAATCGTGGGAGTAAACAGGAAGGACAAGACTAGAAGGAACACTGAGCTCTGAAGGAAGGAGAATTAAAACTGCAAACCTCCTCACCCTACCAAAGATACTGTAAAAAGCCCCAGCTATAGCACTTCTTTCTTTTTGAAGGGATCGTCTTTGAACATTCAAGCATATTCTCTCTTCGCTTTATTTCGGTAAGGAGATCATTCATTTGGGGAAACTTCTAAGTAACACATCACATATACTTAAAAAGACGTGGAACTGAGAGGAAGTACCAACAGGAACAGATATATGGTATCATGCCATGGGACACCTGACTAAGCAAACCCCATCAAGATCGTGTTTCTTCCATGAAGTCATTCGTAGCAACAGTGCTGCTAAAGACCGTAAGGAGGCACTGCTTTGGTGCCGACTCTGAAGAACACAGCGGTGTAGAGATCTTTGGCTGCTTGAAATACCACGCTCAATTGTGTACTTTTCCTCGGAACCCTTCCACCACTGTCCTCATCAGGTACACCCCCAACTGCTATTACTACACTGTCAAACCACAGCTCACAGAATCACAGAACCGTTTGGGTTGGAAGGGATCTTAAAAGATCATCTAGTTCCACCCCCCCTGCCGTGGGCAGGGACCCCTTCCACTAGACCAGGTTGCTCATCCAGCCTGGCCTTGAACACTTCCAGGGATGGGGCATCCACAACATCTCTGGGCAACCTGTTCCAGTGCCTCACCACCCTCTCTGTGAAGAACAACTTCCTTTTATCTAATCTAAACCTCCCCACTTTCAATTTAAACCTGTTACCCCTTGTCCTGTCACTACAGGCCCTTGTAAAAAGTCCCCTCCCAGCTTTCTTGTAGGCCTCTTGTAGGACTGCTCACTGCAGTCCCTCTTACTCTGAGTAGCTGCTAAAAAACCAGCAGCAATGACAAATGCTGGGGGTGACAGGGTTAAGGGCTCAACAGAGCTACGAGCAGTGACTTCTACAGTCCCTGCTGGTACCTTAATGATACTTCCTGAGGAATGTATCATTTAATATTAATGATAAGAGTCAAGCAAGCTTTTAAAACCTTACTTACTTCATACTAATCCCACCCATCCACCCCCATCCCAATCTTCTTTCTGTTTACCCAACTCAACTGCAGGCAAAATGTAAGTAGCCTTCTCTGTTGCCCTCATTTAGATACTAGAGAATCTCTCTTGGTTTATTATTTTCATCTCACTTGCCAATAGCAAACTGAGATTTGTGACAGGGTTTTCTAAACCAAAGCCGTACAAGGAGTTATATTCTCCTGCAAAAGCCTGGATTGGTTTTGATTTTTTTTTATTGCCACATAGTAAGAGCTGTGCAACAGTAACAACACAGAAACAGAAGGAAAAAGGATTTAACAAAAGAAAATGGTGAGATGGAAAGGATATGAAGAACAGACACACAGCCACTCCACAAGCTTTCAGTAGGTGTTTATTTTCTTGTGTCAGCTCTATGAAGACATTTCCTAAGAACAATTCTAAATAGATTTCTTTAAAGGAAGCACTAGAATTCTTCTCAATGACCTGTGTAACAGGGCCAAGTTTCTCAAAAGCATGCATTTGATTTTTAACTCCCCACGTTTCAAGGCAATTTTCGTTACCCAGATGGGAGTTAGGAGCTCTGGGGATCTGCCCCAACCCGAGGGTCATTTTACAAAGAAAACCTAGCCTAGCAGGTTTTGCTCAAGTGTCTTGTGTTTTTGGTTTCCTGAACAGGCACAAAATTCTCACATAAAATTAACATGCAGTGCTGGAGCGGTACTGCTGGTTGGCTCAGCCCAAGACAGTATCCGCAGACAAGCCCTACAGCCTCTTTCATTCTTTGCAAGTACCAGTCATCAGGAAACATTCTACAACAGCAGGTGAGACACATCATAAAACACTTAACTAGCCATGTACACCCTCATCATTTCAGAAAATTCTGTGCTTTTGTAAAATACCATAACTTCACTACTAGCAAAATCTTACCCACCAAAAGATTATTTCCATGACCTACACCTTAAACAGGGATCTCTCTGCATTCCCACGCTGAAGTAGACTCAAGCTCTACCAAAATTTAAATCTCAGACACCTGTATGTGCTACAAAATTGTTTGATAGTCAGGTAACTAGAATTCTTTTCTTGCCCCCCCAACCTGATGTTTCATGCTTGTCACTGATCCACACAGGCTCCCTGCTTCAATTCCAAGTTTATGCAACCACTTTCTGCCATTTCCAATGCACGTCGTTACACAAATCTCCACCTCCTTTTCGAAACAGATGTACCTTGATACTGCAAGGAGTGACTGCAGAGGGAAAGGAGGGGTACAGGCAAGCATCTCGGAGCAATAAGCTCTTCAGCTAGAAGAAGAGTTTCTATACCCTCATTTCCTTCCTTTCTTTTTAATATAGCACACTACAAAGAAAATGTCCAGGGGCCCAGCCTGCTCGAACATCTGTTCTACAGTACTCAAATGAGCTGCCACCACAAATAAAAAGAGATTTTAGAAAGGTCTGTCAAAAATAGAGACAGAAAAATATAAAATTCCTTACTTTAGCTACCACTGGTTTATCACTTTTAATTTTAAATGCATTAAGTGTAAGTTCTCTGAAAAAAAAAATGCATTCCCTAAGCACGCAGATCGTGGCAGCCAGATCTTCCTCTATGCAGTTTCTTTGTGTTGTTTAGTCTTCCTAAACTTTTCTGCAACAGAGAAAAAGCAGCCTCTCCTCCTTTTTATTTTTCTTTTAATATCAAAAGACTACAGCCTTGTTTTCTCAGCATTCTTCTCTCTCTGGTCATGTGCTTTCCAAGCTGTTACACTTGAAGATGTACCACTGTATTTCAAAAAACAATTTAAAGACATGGATGTTGTTGATTATTTATTTATTCTTCCAGTAGAGACAACCTGCCTGGGATTTCCTGACACAGCAGCCCCGGGAGAAGAGCAGCTGCCTCACAGGCACCCCCAGCACTGGCAGGTAGTTCCACAAAGGCCACTGGGCATCCAGAGCAGAGATCCACCAAGCACACGCAGCTCAGCTACACGGTGCACGTGCAGCGAGGCCAACGGATCCAGGCCTTGCCAACTTACTGTCAACGCTTTAGCCAACGAACGCGTGTGAGAATGAACACAAAGAATAGCTGCTTCTTAGGTATTTATAGAACTTGGAAGAATACTAAGATCATTCCAGGATGCAGGATGTCCCCTGGGAGAATGAGCAGGACTTGCTAAGCTCTCTTCTGTGTGGAAGAGATACAGTCAACACAGCAAGTGGAGAAGATCATTACACTCTTTTGTCCCAGCAAATACAAAACATGAACACAGCAAACTCAGAATCCCATAAAGAAAACTGAATTATGCTTGAAAACAACAGAAATCCATACTGCTGAGTCACCTGCAGTCCAGACACTCTGGTCTATAATACTGTAGCCT